AGATGTGAAAGAAATGTATCTGAAAACAAGAGGCCAGTGTTGGGATGTTATGACAGGGAGGGCAGAATCCACTGCAGCAGAAGAGGGTAACTACAAAGTGATTTAATGCTACGTTAAAGGGATAGTACACCGAAAAATGAAAATTCACTCATTATCTTCTCAATACTATGCCAACGGAGGGGTGGCTGAAGTGTTGGAGTCCACAAAACACTTTCAGGGGTAAACAGTGTTTTAGCTCAGATGACCTCTTCATCAGATGTAATAAAAGAACACTGTGGTGTCATCCAACTGTCCGCAAGCCCAGACATTAATATTCAACTTGAAATGAGGTAATTTACACCATGTTTTAAGTTAAGTCAAATGTCCACTCCCAGAAGTGGCGATGCTAGCGGACGAGGGCACCTGAATGCACCTCGGAAGAGACCAACAGAGGAAATTTAGGCTAAAAACCTTGTTTAATGATGCTGTTTCGAGTTGAATATGAATGTCGGGGCTTGGATGACACCACAGGAGCAGTATGGAGGCATGTTATGTCTTTTCTGTTGTTTTATTACGTCTGAAGATGAGGTCTTCTGGGATAAAACACTGTTTACCCCTGAAACTCCCTGAAAGCGTTTTGTGGACTCAAACACTTCACCGACCCCTCCATCGGCACAGTGGTGAGTGGATAATGAGTGGATTTTCATTTTTCGGTGTACTATCCCTTTAACATTCAGTGTTTATCTTGGATACTCGACAAGACGCTTGTTCTCCTTACACTGTGTGTAATTTATACTTGGAAAAAAATGTTATTTTATTTTTGAAAAGCTTCAAGCACTTAAACAAGTGCTTTTTTAAGCTTTTCTGTGATTTTTAAACCAAGAAGAGATTAAAGTTGAAAAACATATCAACCATACTCGCTTAAATGTTGGGAACGAAGAGAAAGTCCGACAGAAAACAGACAACAAAACAAAATTCTAATCTGAAATTCAACCCAACCTTCAGTGCCGGGACAGTGATGCCACATGTACAGACGCACACTCTCTCCCATCTGAGCCAACTATCTAAATACAACCGTCTGTATGCTTGTGCACATGCATATACACACACACTCGCTGATTACAGATGCAGTATATACTGCTCCTCCTGTCCAAGACCTTAATTATCCTGCACAGTCTTATTTCCCATAAAAATTCAGCGAGAGCAGGGCTGTAATTAGAGCCTATTTTTACCCCACCTGTCTAGGGGAGAACTCAGTTCAGTGCTGGCCACAGGGATGATCCAGCCCCATGCCACTACGCTGCCATGGGTGGAATCAGGACAACAGTGGACACAGGAGCTGGGTCCAAACTCATGGGAGAGGATGGGGGTCCTGTAGGTACACCTCCTCCCCAAATAAGACTATCACCAGGCAGCTCTTCTCAAACAGGCAACAAACTTCACAGTTCCACGTTCACACTCATTTCACGCAGTGCGGAGTTGACGAAGGAATTCCTCTCTTTATTTTACTGTTTTTGTTTAATTTTTATTTAATTTCAAATGATAGCAGTCCTAGCAAGTAGTTCAATTGGCAGTTAATAAACTGAGCATTGTTCCACCATCAATCAAAACCGAATATATGCATTTGTCCTGTAAAACCTATATAATTGTTTGATAGACCTATAGATTGACTTTTCAAATCAAAATATGTATTTAATGCAAATACACAGGTGTTAAGTCTTTAATCTTAGAAAATCAGCTTTGTTTTTTGGGATATAAACATTTTCCTCTGTCAGTTTACTTCAATTCAAACTCTTTCCACCTCAAAATAGGAAAATCACAAATCACTCTAATGCTGCAGCTTTCGTGAGATATCCTTCCCCAGGAATCTGTTCAGAGAGGACTTGTGGCTTCTCTTGATGACGTCAACTGACCGGACCTCCCAGTGAGGTTTCATATTAAAATAGTTTGGACACTTCCTTGCCCGTCTCCATTTACTTTTGTGGCCACGCTGGTCTTTCCCTGGTATCACATCACATCTACAACAACAAGCTAAGCAGAGTGAACAAAGTGCACTTCAACAACAACAACAACAACACAAGTCGCCTTTAAACCAGTCAAATGTTGTGTTATGTTTTATGGTGTTAAACATTGCTTAGCGGGTACATGTAGGAATTAGAGTTTCACACTCTACTATGCATCCAAATTACTGCCCTCATGTTGTGGGTTTAAACTTCATAGTCTGCACCCGGTAAACTCTCCTTCAGCAGATGGAGCGTTGATAGGAGTGGCGGCGTGCTCCCATTCTCCTGAGAGACAGAATGTTAGAAACACACATGAAAACTGAAAACTGTGCAAGGCTCGACCAACTTCAAACTGCAGCCTCCCACAGCAGGACCTCGTGCATTTGAGAGAGTCAGGAGGGGAGAACAAGAAAGCAAGAGAGCACAAAGCCAAAAAGGGAAGAGCAACCCTCTCATAACTTTGATCTGGGCCTGTGCTCTTCTTCGGTTTGAGGCGGTGAAGCCATGTGCGGTGTGCAAAGGCTGGTGTGCTGACTCAGGCTTCTGCTCTCCTCTGTCTTACTCTCTGTGCCAGTGAGACCAGGAGGATTAATGGGAAAGTGGAAGAAGAAAGAAAAAAGAGAAGGAGAGAGAGAGAAAAATTGCTGAAGAGAAAAAACAAGAGCTGAGACTCCGGCAGACTTGGCTGAATGGTCCCTCAGTGTCCTGGTGACCCAGAGCTCCCTTTTTTAATACCACATCTCTAAATGGTAAATGGTCTGTATTTATATATTGCTTTTCGAGTCTTGATGACCACTCACTCTACAGTACAGTTAAATAAATGACTGTTAAAACAATATCAATGGTCTGAAGAGCTGGGAGAAATATTCAGATCATTTATTTCAGTGAAAGTAGTAATAAACAAGTTATACAACTGCATTTACTTGAGTATGTGTACTTATTCACAATAATATTTTCTTTAGAACGTCACAAATAAACTTAATCAGCAGAATGAACTCTCTCATTCTATTATATTTTATGGAATTATTACTATTAATTATGAGAACTGAACCACTGACGTAGAAGTACCTTAAAAGTGTACTTAAGCTGTACTTGAGTATATATATACTTAGTTTCATGCAACCACAAGAGGCTCAGGGATGGGGAACCACTTGTCTAATGCACATACCAAAAAAGCTCAAACATAAAACATATTCCTTGTTTCAAATCTAACTTAAGACCTTAGTCACATCAATTTTTCCCTTTCTCCCAGAGATGGTCTGTTGTTCACCACTGTCGACCATGTAATGAAGTCAAAAATGCCATAGACTTGGCCGGAATGTCCCAGCAGCTCATCCCACCGCCACCAGTAACCATTGGGCTCTGACTGCAGACGCCATTTCAGACATACAGACAACCCAGTGCTAATTCAGTCTAAACTAATAAGGCCCTTTGGGTGCCCTAAGTGATTTAAAAGGAACTTCAGGACAATTAAATTCGACTTACTTGAAATTATTTTCTAAACACGGACCTGGAACAGTGATTATTCAGGCAGTGTTGAAAAGCTGTGATGTGTAATGAGACAGACAAAAAAAAGAGAGATTCCCTGCAAGGCAGAAAATTCAGATGTGCATTTAAAAGGACTTGAACACAGATCTACCTGATGTAACCATCCAACACGGGAGAGGAGCCAGCTGACTCATGTTAGTTCAGCAAACACAGACACACATGCACTCTGCTCACACTTAGTTGTGTAAAAAGGCGTACAGTTGTAAGTGTGCCGCAAAGAAAATAATCCGCATGTAAGTTTTTTTTCTCTGCTGGCTCCGTTCCCGTCAGACTCATAGTGACATCACATGCGTCTGAAACAGTGAACCTTTCACGAAGGTGTCGAAAGACTCAAAACACATTCAGAGCAGCACACGGGAGCATATACACAGAGTCTCGCGTATAAAGCGATTCATACGGAGTGATGTGCCTTCCAGGTATTTCTCTGCTGCAGCATGTAGCACTTTTGCAGAATTCCTTGAGAGAACCCACGACCTGAGGCAGCCTGAGCATGTCTGTAATCAGGAGCCCACTGTGTGAGAGCATCTGCTCCATGCTGACCAGTCTCTCACAACACACACTTCATCCTCATCTTCCCTCCGCTCACAAATGTCCCACCACTCCTCTTTCTCACTGCTGCTGGTTGTGGCCGAGGCCTTTTTTGGCTCAGTCCTGGTTGTCATTGGTGAAAGAAAAAAAAAGAAAATAGGAGTGGTGTGAGTGGAGAGGTTCATGGTCGCACTAGTTTGCTGTGGGATGGGTACCCGTGGGAAGAGTGGAGCAGCGACTGCATCCATAAATCAGCTGTAGATGACTCACTGAGAGGAGCCAGCGGTGAGCTCTCCGGGTTAACATCAACATGTTTATCACTAAATGTAGTGTGGAGAAAATAAATCGGTTTACAGTAAATTGCAGAGGAGTGACAGGGGCCGATTTACTCATAAAATCTCAAAATTTTGGGATTTTTTAAATAGTTCTACGTCACATTCTATTCATGTAATTTAAGGAATGTCTGTGTCAGTCTGTCCATCCCTCTGTCCATCCCTCCGTGGCTCGTATATCTCTAGAACTGTTCACCTTGTCGCCTTCACACTTGGCATGAGTATTGTTAAGGGCTCAAGGAAGTGCAGTGTCAAATTATAGGCCACCTGATATGTTCAAAATTAATAAAATGTAAATAAACAGTTGCTCTTTAGCAGCGGCGGCTGGGACTCATCACGTTCACCACCACAGGGCGTTCACAACAACAGCGTGTTCAAAACAATAGGAGCTTTCCCGACAACTGATTCTCCAGCAGCTTCAGGGTTCTGCGGACTGAGTCCTGCAGCTGGTCTTTACTTGACGCGGCTAAATGAATTCAGGTCACTGCACTAGCTGCACTAGTCTGTATAAAATAAATGTTTTTGTTGCATTTGATTTCGGAGCAGATAGTAGTAGTATAGTAGCAGTATTGTTTTGACAGTGTGGTGAAGTCTTTATCAGAGAACTTACCTGAACAGGTGTCAGCTGGGCCCTGGGATCAAAAACTCGCAACATCTTGTCCTACAGACACAAAGAGAAAGAAGAAACATGACAGAGCTGAAGGAACCTGGAAATGATTCATTTTATGAATTACGATTTGATATAGCATTATAAATCAGCTTACAGCTGTCTGAACTCAAGAACCTTTTGTTTTAAATCACAGCTTGGTTCCTTCTTACGCTTTAACTGCCTGGATGGCATGTGAAGTTAAGTAATAACATGCAAGGGTTGTGAGGCAAGTCTGTGGTTTACTGTAATTTGTGAGGAGTGTGACTCTGGTGTTCAAAAGAGGTTCAAGAGCAGATGCAAGGTCGATACTCAAGGTTCGCACAAAGAACAGAGGAAAGGAAAAAATACTTCATAGAAACTGAAATATGAACGTTAAATATTGAAAACATTATTAGAAGTACTTTATTAATCCCTGTAGGGAAATTCAAACATTACAGTCCCTCCACCACAGTGTGGTTCTAACAAAGAACAACACCGATTCTCTGAGGTTTCCTTGTTTATCAGCGTGATCTCACCGATTCATCGTGACCTCTCCGCGCCCTCATGTGCCTTGACCCCGGTTGGCCAGAACACGCATTCGGCATCAATCACGGCAGCCAATCAGAGAGGCTGCTTCATGATTGAGAGGAAATGGGCCCTAATAGGATCAGGCTGTGACCGGGACATGCGTGTCTGCAACCGTGTCACTCAATACTGCTATGTGACTGTGATCACAGCAGCAGGCCGACACACGGGGCTGATAGCAGGTAATAAGTAAAAGGGCCTCGACTGAACCACGCAAACACACTTAGCAAATATATGTCAAAAGGAATCAGGAGGCTGACAGTGACACAGTCAAAGACACACACAGGGACAGAGGGTCATTGAGCATTCGTCCGCTGACAACATTACTACAGCATTTTATTAAATTGGGCTAAATCCAGTGTCAGTTACAGCTTCTCTTCGTTCTGCTCCTCTCAGCTGTTCAAAGGGGATTTATTTGCTATTTATTAGTTAGAATAGCAAACGCAGGTTTTTCTTAATGTGCTGTTTTTTTCCCTGCCTCTCCATCTGTGTGTGTGTGTGTGTAGCCCACCCACGAAAATGATGCCCCAGGGCTATGTCTTCAGGGCTCTGCGACCTGGGCCTAAGCCAAAGGCTCAAAGAGCGATGTGAGAACACACACACACAAACACGCACACACATGCACACACACACACACACACACACACACACACACACACACACACACATGCACACACACACACACACGCATTGATTAACACCGATTTATTGTTGCAGCTCTTTAGCCAGCCATCATCTGTACATACAGTCCTATACAAGCGGATCCATTTTAATCCATCACTAAGTTATCTACCTTTAACACACCTCAGAATAGATAAACACACTTTTCACATTTATACACATACAAGTATACAATTCCCACATTAACTTTATTTATTGGCTGTTTACCCTACAGAGTGTGCAAACAACAACATATGAGAGAGGAGAGGCAGGACAAACACACACTAAAGCCTGTGACAATAGCCCGTACAAACACACACTCAAACACACACATCACATCGACTCATAAATGCACAGATGGACGAGCAGGAGATTAGTGTGTACATTTGTGTGTGTGTGTGTGTGTGTGTGTGTGTGTGTGTGTGTGTGTGTGTGTGNTGTGTGTGTGTGTGTGTGTGTGTGTGTGTGTGTGTGTCAGCAGCTGTTTAATCAAAGTGACGCAGGCTCGTTCTCAAGCTGCCGTTAATGAGTTTTCACTGCTCGTCTGCTGCACACAACTTTCACTTATGTGTAAGCACACACAGTCGGTGGGAATCTTTGGCCACTGATGCTCTCTTCACTCATCAAACACACTGGGCTGACACCCCCCATTCCTTATCTCCCATGGTTACCAGCGCTGAGCCTGTTGCGATCGTTAATTTGAGACTATGGGATTCCTTCGTCGATTATTGTATCTCACTTCTACAGCCTGAGTGCTGTAATAAGGAGCCTGTGACTTTTAAAACTATAGGTGGACTGTGGACCATAAATCCAGCAGCACCCCATTTCTAAGCAGCACACCACCCAGGCCCACCAGTCATTTGGATAAACAGAGACTTTCCTCCATCCCACCTCACACTACCTGTGGATTCCCGTTCCCCAAACTGAATGGCTTCTTTCTCCCTCCAAGTGCATCATAAATATACATCTCTCTCGGCCCGAATGAGGCCCATCATGATTCCTGCTCTTGGGGTGGTGGTCTCCCCTTCATCTTCCCCCATCCCAGCCCTGTACCCCCAATGTTTACCCTACAGGAGGGCCGGGGGGATTGGACCCACATGTTGGCGGGCCTTATTTGCTTTAATAAGCTGGATTGAAGAGATTGAACAGGGTCTTTTGGGTTAAATGACACCAGAGCCCAAACGGGTAAGAGCCTCAGAGGCCCCCCTGCTCTGTTCTTGGTTCACATTTCCCCCCCCACGCTCCCTTTCTTTTCAGGTGCCTTGTTCTGTCAGGCTGCACTGAGGCCGAGGTTGATCTGGTGCATTATCCTGTCAGAGTAATTGTCATAATTTGGATGTAGCATGTGATGGGCGGAGTAATTTGTTACTTGTCAGAGTGAAGGCAAACAAGGGGGATTGGCCTGACAATCATACCAGTTAAGTGCACACATTTGTGTCAACGTTTATTTTGTCTCAAACACCAGTTAGCTCATCAGATTTTATCTGTCGTATACACCGGGGGCCGCTGTCTCATTTGAACAACAATCAGTCTGCGTGTAATTTCAAAAAGGACGGAGAAATGAACTTGAGTGCGCAGTCAGAGGGTTTTGATAATCTCCTATAAACCAAATATATTCATGAAACAATGTCGACTCATAAACCCCTTCTTTCTCTGCCCCCTACTATTAAACCCACACCACCTCCCTCCCTCCTCCTCCTACACAACCTACTTACAACTTAACGGAAAGGCCTTCAAGCTCTGTGATTATTTCCTGATGACACCAATGAGTACAGCCATATGGACGCATAAAAAGTCAGGGAGACTTTCTCCCCTTTTTAGTTTTTTCCTCGTACGCCACATAACTACTGTGCACGTCAAAAGAATTTCGTTCTTCGGTTCCTGATGTGACTTAAACTTGCATCAGGGGACAGTTAGGGTATACAGGGCTGTGTACTGTGGATAGAGATCTAAGGTCAGGTGGGGTCAGTACAAAACAAAGCCCTGACAGATTTATCCTTCACACTCGGGCGTGTTCTCTTATTAATGTTGTAATTGCCAAGTTACAACAGTTTCCAAATCTCCACAGGCCCTCTATCAACCTCGGCCAAGATTTCTTTAACTGCTTTGTCATCACTATTACATATTAAAACAAACTATTTTACGTCATCCGGCATTCCGGTTTTATTATGTTTTTTCCTCGTAAAGAACAGCTCACTAATTCCTAATCAAATGTATGATGTGACCTCCACCCTCTTTTATGAGCATCACCTCCCTTGACATTTTGGATGAAATAAACCTCATATAAACAGATAAGGAGCTGCAGAGTTCTAGGTGAGGCGCACTGCACTGAAAGTGAGCCAATAGCGGCATCTAGTGGTCAGACTCTGCATCGACAGCAATCATACCTTGAGATATTCACAAATAAAGTTGGTGAGGGAGTGAAACTAAATGCAGCTTTTCACGACATCCCAATTTTAATTTAAAGATGAACTCGTAAGGGTCATTGCAATACATCAGGTGCAGTGTGGGTTGTCCTCACCTTGCAGGAGGAAGCCAGCAGAGAGCCGTCCCGTTTCCAGCTCAGACTCTGCAGGTGGTCACCGTGCTGCTCCAGAACTGCAGACGCACATTAGGGACATTAGAAAGGAGACAGGAGAAGAAGGACTAGAGACGCAAAGCTCATGTTAGACAGAGACAAAATGGGGCAAAGAATAAAAAATAAAAAACATGAAAACACAAACAATTAGCACAGATTGACAGGGAAGAGATGAAGCCGTAGAAAAAGCACATACAATCCTGAAAATGCGTAATAACACACAAAAGATGGGGGTGATATACATCAAGGAATGGATCGTACATCTTTACAGTTAAAGCACATGAGAGAGACTGAGAGCATGACACACACATTAGCTTGCGGCGCCTTAAGTAAGCACAGCAGCACTTGAGTGCATTGTTCAGTTTCACCAATTTAAAAGAGATGGGAGGTGCAAAGGTGACGTCACAGACAAAGCGATGTGACAACTTAATAAGTAGATCAAACATTATTTAACACAGATGCACTTATTTAAATAAAGATTTTCATTCATTCACACATTCAGATCTTTTCCCCTAACTGTATATGAATGTGGAATGGGAGTGATGTAAGACAGTGTGTGGGGGGGGGGGGTACGGCTCACAAATGGTTTGATCAGCAGTGAACAGCAGCAGCCAGGCCAGCTGTCATGGGATGGAGGGGTGCTTGCAGTGTTTGTGGGGGTGTGGGGGTGTGGGGGGGGGTGAGGCCAGAGGATAGTGACAACATCCTGAGGCCAGTCTAGGGAGACTGGGACCAGGACTGCAAACCAAGACATTACCTCTGCTGCTCCAGCTCTTAGACAGAGCCACAGGGCTGTAAAACGTAGGCAGTGTCAGTCAGACAGTCCCCAACAAAAGAAAAAATAAATAAAAAAAGGAAACCAACCACTTCACTCAATGTTAAATATATATTTTGGTTAAACACAGGAAACAAAACCGGCACAACAAAACTTAATGACTAACTGACAGATACTAAAATGTTAAATGTAACAGACAGTGCAGGATGTGCGACAAAGACATAATTTTCATGTGATATGTGTTTCAAATCCGTGCCCACGACCAAATGTGTGTGTGCTTGTGCAGCTCATGCCGCAAGCTGCAGCTACCTGCTAAGGGTGCATCCTGGCGGCTGGTGTCCCAAATCAGAGGAGACTTAGTGGTGCCGACAGCCAGCAAGCCAGAGGAGGTGGGGTGGAAGTGCACCAGCTCCAGCCTGCCCTGACCTGGATGCAGGGTCAGCTCTGGGCTGCTGGGCTGCTCCAGCTCAGGATCACACAGACGCCACAGCTTCACCTGTACACACACAGAGGAAAATTGACAAAATGGAAAGTGGCTTGGGATTAGTTCTGCTGAAGTTGTGGGTTTTAAGTCTTCCAGATGGAGCAGGCCGGGAGCAAAAGGATCAGTACAGCTGGTAGCTAAGATGTCAGGATGCAGCATCGCACAGAGAGACTAGGAAAAGGTTCGTCTCTGAGTTCAGCCAAATGAAGACACAGAAAGTAGCTTCCTGTAGTAGCCAATGCAGCTGACTGCACAGGGATCTACATCCAGATCAGGTTTGGATTTCTAGCTGATGTGAGCAGATGCAGTGAAACTGTATGATTATGTGTCAGTAAAATAAATCCACAGAGAAATATTTCACAGGTGGGTGCTTCCTCTCACTTTAACTCTAATTTCACTTGCTCAGCACCTCCAAGCTGGCAAAAAGATGAGAGGAGTGAAAGTGAGCTGCAGATGCTGAACACTGCGGTCAACTCTGGTTTGTGTGCTAAAGGTCTATGTGTGGCAATAATTATATGTATTAAGAGAGGTATCTGAGGTAAACCAAGCTGCAGAAGCTGGAGATGCAGGCTCACACCCGGCAGATTCCAGTGAGCCGGGGCACCTGTGGCTGAGAATAACTAGCCGAGAGCAGGGGGAGTCATCATAGGGTTTAAATAACCAAAACTGAGCGGGTTTATACGGCATTTTAATTCTTGCCAGGAACAACAGAGCGGTAGAGGGTGAACAGTACACTTCAGTTTAAGTGTACTGCAGCAAAACAAAGGCAGACCAATACAATGAAAGACAAAAGGCAAGAAGGAAAATGCAAAAGACAGAAATTAAAAGACTGCACTGATGAACTCACCATTTCATCTCCAGAGCATGTTGCAAGCAGATTCTCATCGAAAGGAGAAAAGTCCATATCAGTTATTAAATCTGGAAAAGGGGAAAGGAAAATTAGATCTGGATCACAGCTGTGCAGGTGCTAGGATCATTTCAAGGTATTTGTTTTTGTGTGTGTTGATAAAAACATGAAGAAAAACTACCAGAATGGCAGGAAATCTGAGCGACTGTCCATTGGCCATCGGAACCAGGTTTGACTGAAGACAGGCCCAGCAGACCTCCGCCTGGAGACACAGGAAACAATCACACAAACAAAACAGAGAAAATGACATCCATAATAATGCTTTAATGAGAAACCATCTGTGTACAGTGTCAGAGGAATCACATTATTTTCCCCAGCCATTGAAGTATTGGGCTTAAACTACAGACAGTGGATTCTTCTTCTGGAGCAAACTCTTATAGCCTTACCAGCCTGTTCGGTGTTGAAGGCCACAAGCTTGGAGCTGGCTTTGATGTGGTTCCCCTGGCAGGAGAAGGAACCGGCGTGGACATTGTTGATCCACTCCTGTATTTGAAGACACAGATCGCTCGAGTCAGAGAGCAGAGCAGATGAAACAAGGGGGCAATAATACAAACAGATAATTAGGATCAGACAACACCACAGAGGGTAAAATAAGTAACGCATCAGACTACAGTGTATAAAATGAGTGTTGACATGACATGTGCAAACAAGAGAACAGCAAGCTGCACTGAGAAACCCAAGGGAACAACGTGTCTGGCTTATCAGTTTGCATTAAGAGAGCACACGACCAAACTGGTGTCAAAACACACAGAATAAAAGAATGACATAAACAGGAAGGATCTATTTGAGGGCACGCACACACAAATGCCTCTGAAAGAGTGGTGAGGAAGTGGGAGGGCTCCCTGAGTTGCACAGCACAGAAACTCTCAAAGCCTCTTTCATAACACCGAACAAGGCAAGAGCAGCAGGAAGGTAGAGTGTCTGCACAACATGCTCCAACAAATTCTCCTCCGCTGCTCCTCAGAAAACTGTTACAAGACCGACCCTGAGAGACGTTTGGCCTGAAGAGCACAATTAACAAGAGGATGAATTGGAGGAAAAGCCAAATGGGTTCTTCCCTGACATATGCAGCATCCGTCCACACAGTTTAGTGATAATCCGTTCAGTGGATTTTGAGCAATCCTGCTAAATAACAGACATTTTGACTAAGATAAAATGTACAATATCTGGTGTTCTTGGCCTTTCAGAGTGAGACTGAACACCTTATGTCATGATTCATTTACAGGCCCGGAATTACAAAAATCTTTGACATCAAAGACTTTATGCATGGGGAATATAATGGGACACCTTAGGGTCAACCTCAGAAAAGATATATGATTAAAAATAAATCAATCAATCCCAGTGACTTCTCTCTCACCATGTGGAATTTGAAACACACAAATAAAATCATGTCTCTAAATCCAACCTGTCCCTCGTCTCACAACCTATGCACGCCAGTTTAACACTCCCAACAAGCAAAGCACCACCTGCTGCTGATCCTGTGCGGGAGATTGGAGACAACGATACCAAGGAGAACATCCACTGTCTCTGACTGTGCATGCCAAACATTTCACTGCCTCAGTAAAAAACACAAGGCAGGGGGGTGGGGGTTACATAATTCACCTGAGCAAGGAGAGAGCTGCAGGCAACTTCCCACAAATGGATCCAGACTGAGGATGATGGGGGTTTTTTAATGGTAGACCATGAGCCCTTTGGTTTCTGTCCACACCAAAAGGCTCTGATTACACTGCAATAACTGATTTATTTTGGACGTCTTATATTTATTTATTTTATTCATGTTCTACGACTGCAATTTTGCACGCTTGTCTCTTATTTTGTCATCTCTTGTATTTAGCCTCTCGCTCTATGTGCAATGCCTTTGACATGCTACTGCAACACCATCATTTCCCAATTTGGGATCAATAAAGCAGATCTACCTCTGAATCTGTGTGCAAGAACACTACAGTCCAGACAAGCTGCCTCTTGCATACTGTCACTTATCATTCAATTGTATTGAATCGATGAGTGCCACAGGAAATCTGCACAGAAAGGCAGAACTCCAAGTGTGCAATCAGAAACTGTGCAGGACAACGAGACTGCAGAGGAGCAAACTCAGTGAGCTGTGGTACAATGGGACGGTTCTGATCGGCCTCGTTGTTTGACCAGATGCAGCAGATCTGTGCAGACACACGGCTCCTGGTTTCCTTCAGCTTCAGATCTCCCCTGTGCTTCTCGTCTTCTTCTCCTCCAGATGCAGGAAGTTCAACATCCCTTGCAGGCAAAAACACCGCTGAAGTAGCACAGCTGCTAATAACCAGTGCTAAGGTTAGCTAGGAGGAGACGAACAAAAATCACGGGCTGTAGTTGACGCTCGGGAGCTACTCACATCTTTCTTGGCAATTTTCGGAGTGGTGTTTTTGAATTTGGAGGTCTTAAAGCGGTTCATGCTGCCCTCTCACACTGACTGTCGAGCCTTCCGGGTGCGTGTGTGCGTGTGTGTGTATGTGTGTGTGGCTGCCCCGCTGTCTGCACAGGGATCAGCTGACAGCTCGCCCCGTCGCGTGTCCGCTCGCTTTGATCACCGGAGCTGTCCGGTTGGGCGGGATTCTGCTTTTCTCACAGAGGAAACGCCCCCCTGCGCTGCTCAGCGCTCCTCTGGTAGGTAAAACGTGTGTATCCGTTTTTTTTTATGTTCCTGAATGCATCCTGAAAGTGGCCCCTATTAGTCCATCGTAATTAATATAATTATAATATATGATATAAATAAAATAGTAGTCACATCAATCAAAGAATAAAGACCTGGGGTTCTCGTCAGAATCAATGAAACGAGAATAAAACAAAACAACTCAAGTGGTTTCAGATGAACATGTTTCGTTGGGAGAGCACCATCTTGACTCAAATTCAACATCTTTGTAGCTGCCGGTGCCGCCCACTCTCTTCCGGACATGCGCAGTAGGTACGCAGCGGCGGTCACTGGGTGAAGAAATGATGGCGGCCGCTCGCTGCTCCTCACGCTGGATCACGGTGTTCGTGTCCTCTGGCCGCGGCCGGGTCGCCGGAGCCGCAGTGGGCGCCGGTCATGGAGGAGTCCGCGGTGTTTCCTCCGTGGCTGCGGATAAACTGTGGCGGGGAGGCGGCACGGTGTGCGGCGCTGCAGGGAAAGCGTTGACATTGAGAGGGCTGTCAGGTGAGTGGTGCATTAGCCATATGGCCTGGGCTAGGCTAGGCTAGTTTTCTAGTAGTTTACTCATGTGACGCACTTTAAGACAATTAAATTAGCTTTAGCTTTAAAGATACGAAGACCTTGTAACTCAAACACTTTTGCTTCATGCTCGAGGAGACCACGAGAGATGTGATCAGTGTAGCTAACTGTGATCTGCAGTCATCATGTTGAATCTGACCTGTCAGGCAGCCAGTGCTAACATTTGTTTATGTTATTGCTATTTACTCACTTATATTCTATTCTGTTTACCATAACCACGACATGCCAAACAACCACATTCCAATGAGTTGTCTCTTATCAAGTCACGATTAAACAGCTCTGCTCCTCTGGTTAATGATGATTATGTAAGAACAGACAGGACATACAAACAACAAACACAACAACAACAGACACTTTTCAAAGTAAGAAGATAACAACAATGATGGAGCAAGACACAGAAGCAATAATAACTGAAAGTAAAAGGCAGATGTTCTAATGCAAAATACTAATAACAGTGGATTGAAAAGGAAAATCCAACCACCCTTCTTGGTTAACTGCTGGTCCGCACCGGGTCTGATTACCAGGCAACAATTGAAGCCTGAAACCACATTGTCAGAATGTTGATTTTAAAAAGTGAGCGATAAAAGACAAGTCGTCAGTGATCAGACAAAGGTCACACCGGAGAGCTCTCCGTAAACATCTGCTTCGTTCCTCTATATGTAACTATCCTGACATTAACTCTGTTCTACTTTTCAGGTCTCAAATCGTCCCATGCAGTTGGCACACACGACTTTCACACAAGTGCCCCTGCACGCAGCAAGCAGGACTTCTACCAGATCCTTGGGGTTCCCCGCACATCATCCCAGAAAGAGATCAAGAAAGCCTACTACCAGGTCCGTTCCTGCCCGACGCATGTTTACAGTTTACGTTGCTTCTCATCCGACCGATCTTCACAGTAGTTGATGGTGTGTTTGTTGTTCCTCAGATGGCCAAAAAGTACCACCCTGACACCAACAAAGATGACCCACAAGCCAAGGAAAAATTTGCTCAGCTGGCCGAAGCTTATGAGGTTTGTTCTCAGTCTTTATTTAGGCCCTCACTTGACACACTTACTGTGTCCTTTTCTTTTGGAATGTGCTGTTTAAACCTTGTCCTCATGTTTCAGATCCTCAGTGATGAAACAAAGAGGAAGCAGTACGACGCGTATGGCTCAACGGGCTTTGATGCTGGTCAGGCTGGTGGAGGGCATCACTACTGGACTGGACAGACCAGCAGCGTGGATCCAGAGGAGCTCTTCCGCAAGATCTTTGGGGAATTATCTGGAGGACGAGGGTTTGGTGACTTCAATGCCATGTTCGATCAGCCACAGGAGGTTAGGGGGACACTGAAATAGGACTAGGACAAGGAGAGAACTTGATTTTGCTTTTGAGAGCTCACCTGATTCAAATTTGGCATTTTTTATCTGTGTCAATGCAGAGTAATGAATTTCTAACTCTTTCTTGCTCTCTTGGCACAGTACATCATGGAGCTGACCTTCACTCAGGCAGCAAAGGGAGTCAACAAAGAGATATCCGTTCAAATCGACGCAGCCTGTCAGCGCTGTGACGGTAAGGGCCACGAACCAGGCACCAAGGTCCAGCACTGCCACCACTGCAATGGGTCCGGCATGGTAAGGGCTCTGATACGCTGCCACTCTTAAAAGTGTTCACATATGTGTTGCATCACCAAACACGTGTATCGTCCCCCCCCTGCAGGAGACGGTGAATACAGGTCCGTTTGTGATGCGCTCCACATGTCGACGCTGTGGCGGCAAAGGCACAGTCATTTCCACTCCCTGTCATTCCTGCCGGGGGGCGGGACAGACCAAGCAGAAGCAGACTGTGACGGTTCCTGTGCCTGCAGGTCACTTACATTCAACTGCCTTTGTTTTGGTTGATGTACCTGTATTCATTCAGCTGTAGATAGAAATAATGGGAGAAAATGTTTGGACTTCTCCAGATATACCTGCTCTGTGCTCTGCATTTTAATGTTTTTGCTTCTTTATCACCAAATAATTATGAATATTAATGAGAAACTGAAAATGTTCACTCAGACACTGTATGAGAAAGGAAAATTTGAATAAATGAAATAGTTTGTGCCATTTCAAGCCTAAAGAGACTGAGGCTTTTTAGCCAAAAGATTTTTACTCTTAATTTTAATGCTGATCATTTCATGTCCATCACGTGCACCACCTGACTCTTAGTTTTGATTTTAGGAGTGGAGAATGGCCAGACAGTCAGAATGCCAGTTGGTAAGAAGGAGATCTTCATCACGTTTAAGGTGAGTATCTATAGAATTAATTGAGCTCTCCATGAAGTGCATGCTTTCCTCGTTAATAGGATTGTCTTGTGTGTCTTCATGTGTCTGAGCTCTTAAAGTCCACAACCTGAGGTGTCCTGCTTTTTGAAATCCTTCTTTGTGCTCTGGTTTGGTGTCCAGGTCCAAAAAAGTCCAGTGTTCAGGAGGGACGGTGCAGACCTCCACTCCGACCTTTATGTCTCTGTGGCACAAGCTGTTTTGGGCGGCACGGCCAGAACCCAGGGCCTGTATGAAACGCTCAACTTATCAGTAAGCAGACAAGCACTTTCTCCAGAGAAACATCAAACACATATAATACAAAGACCCGCTAGAGGGTTTTAATTTGACCTCTCCCATCTTCAGATCCCTGCAGGAATCCAGACAGACCAGAGGATCCGACTTGGAGGGAAGGGAATCGCCCGTGTCAGCGGCTACGGCTATGGTGACCACTACGTCCATGTCAAAATAAAAGTACCCAAGTAAGACAAACAAACCTCTTGTTCATCTATTTGCTCTATTGACCTTCTAGTGACACAAAACACCATTTTGACTGCAGGCAATAACTTGTTATAGGAAAAAAGAACATTTTCCAAATCACAATGAACATAAATGAGATAACAGAAGTTGTTATCTTGTGCAGGACACTGACAGACAGACAGCGATCTCTGCTAATGAGCTATGCTGAGGACGAGACAGAGGTGGAGGGGACGGTGAACGGAGTCACTAACACCACTACAGGTAAGAGGAAATCTCTCACTGACAAACTCACCTTTTCTCTTACCTGCCAGTTCCTAATTTCCTTTAGTCAGATGGGGTTTAAGTGGCCAACAAAGATATAATGAGATCAAAAATTCATATTGGTAATTATCTCGATAAATGTCAGGTTGCTCCTGAGATAAAGTTAAGGTGGTTTTAAACTCGTCTTTATGGGCTGAAAATGACAAACACTGCTTACACAATGACTCCACTCTGCCAGACCAAAGAAGAAGTATTATTAGTTCCTGTTGTACTGCATTGTTTCTGACTCTGGTTCATTTAATGGGTTAAACTAATACCTTTCTAGCCAGCCTGCTAGCTATGTTACTAACATGACTATCCAACGGTAAGTGGCTTGACAACTACATGTCCTCATGGTGGTTAAAGTCAGTGGTTGACTTCTAGAGAAAACTGAGCTGAGCCGAAAGTCTTTCAAAGTTGAGACAATGAGAATAAAGGTGGTGGAGTCTAACAGAGGTTGATCTTAAATTTAATTTGAATTGGTTTTAAAAAAGCTCACAGATGTTTATAGCTGGAGACACCATGTTTTTCTTCTCTTAACCTGGTACCACTTTGCTGTTTTAAGGTTTTTATACACATATCTCCAACAATTTCCTTTTTCTTTTCTTCAAGGTAAAAGATCCTGGAATTGAGAGACTCCACCTGCATGTCAGCGGGCAGAGAGGAGGACCACAGTGTAAAGCAAAGACAGACGCATCATAGAAAAGGGGACAGAGGGTTGAGAAGCAGTGGATGGTGGATGAGGACTATAAGGGTTCTGGATGGATCAGTAAAGACCTACCTATCACACCCTGCAGTGGATAAAGAAGAGAATTACCTCCCCTTCTCATCTGCCCGAGGTGATCCTCCCACGAGGGGATGAAGCAGTCACTCACCTCCCTGTCCAATGTCCATGGAGGCTGCTTCGATTGCAAAGACTGTTCAGTTATAATGTGAGTCAGCTGATTGCCACAAGAAAAAAATTACGATGGTGGTTACAGAATCTATGTGCACCAAAAAAATATGATTGCAAATACAAATATTTAATTTTTTTTATTTGGGATTAAATTGCCCCGATGCCTTTGTCCATCTGTGTTGTCACATTTCTCCTTTCATTCTCAGCACTTTCACACATTACAGGTGGAACGTTGTCAGACTACATGTTTACTTCTGTGTTTAAGTGTTGGACAGCGTGGTAGTGTCTCCACTGGTTATTTTGCTCTCTCTCTCTCTCTTTCTGATGGAGGATTGAAAAATGGAAATGTTACTTTCCTGACACTTGCCCTGATCTATAGCTCCTCTAACTCCTGCCTCACTCGGGAGTTTTCAACTGTAATTACATTTATGCATAGACAGTTAGAGATCATACAACAATGTGTTATATAGAAGAGATATACTGTACAGCTGTAATAAAGCTATGGTCTGGATAAATGCCTGTTTTCTGTTAATCTCTTAAAAAACAATTAGATCTGTTAAGACATTATATTAATCATATTTGTACAGATATGGTTCAACCTCATTCATATACAACACAACTAAAGTGTCTCCAAAGTCTGAGCATTACAAACAACACTGAGAATTGCTTTTTGCAGGGAGATTGTCAGATTACATTGCTTTGCACATGTGCACCTAATAAACCTGTATTTTTATTTTTGAATAAATGTAATATTATCCTCAGTGATCCTGTTGTGAAGCATTTTATCATGAAAGATAATGACATTTCCACCAGACGGCAAAGACATCACCAGTTACTGTGAGTGTGAATGTCTGTAACATACTGTCAGGGATCTGTGCCAAATTATACAGAAGACCACATGGCAGACATTTGCATTTCCTCTCAGCATACACATGTATGTCTCATGAAGATGGGTACATCTTTCATGAATGGCTCAACAAAATGTATGTTGTCATGATTGTTAATGTTGGCGATATAGCCTTGATTAATGTGTGGAAGTTTTATTACCTCTGCAAAGGAGGTTATGTTTCCGCCTCTGGTTTGTCAGTCAACAGGATTATGTAACAAAACGACTGAACCATTTTTGTTTCACTTTAACATTGAGATAGGGTGTTTTGGAACGTTGTCCCTGATTTCTCAGAGAATAATTCATGGAACTTGATGAAAAAAATCATGCACCGTACAGGGACTGATATTCATGTGTGTGCAATTTGGTGCAGATCCAAATAAAAATCCAGATCTAATGAATTTAAAAGTGGTGTCATTAGGGGACTGAATCTAATGGTGAATTGAGAGCAGCTTGATAAATGTGATTAAAAACCTCAGACCAAGTCAATCCACTTTATTTCAGCATCAAAAGAACAAAAGATTCACTGGATTTTCACTCTCATACAATGAAGATTACTCTAATTTAGTCAGTCACTAATAAAGCTCTGTTCAGTTAGACACAAGGTGATTTAAGAACTGGGGTTAACGAAAATGCAAGAGAATTCAGAATCAACATAAAATTAGTCACACACTCCTCTTTTTTAATCAACCTGTGTTTCCCTTCAGTATGTCCAAAAACACTTTCAGCATTTTTACACAAAACACTGGCATGAAAATTAAATTAAACATGGAAACTACAGGAGTACATGAGGCAGTCCCTGTTAGTCCTCCATACCCAACATGCCATGCCATCTTTCTGCAACACGAACCTGAGAAAATATAATACATAACAAATCAGAATCATGCATGTAGCATGGCTGTGACCAAACAGCTGCACTCCAGCTCCTGAATGTGCTTTGCTAATGAGAGAATACTGCATAATCACATGTAGTGTGCGTTGAGCGCACAGCATCCTGGGTTAAATGTTATAATAGACAGATCTCCTTTGGTACTCTGTGTCCAACAAGTCGAGGGAAGCGTGGACAGACAAACCAAATTCAATACAAACGTCATGACTGTGTCAAGTTGAAAATTAAAACTGATACAGTACACAAAGCACAAAATATTTCTTCTTCCAATTGGTGTTGAAATAAGTTGTGTACCAACGGGAGAAAACTTCCCACAAAGTCATACATGACACAGTATGGATGATGAGTGTACAGTTGTAGAGATGGTGGATATTGGCGTATCCATAACAAATGAGCTGTTCAAGACCTACTGCTTACATATTTAACCTTCAAGTATATAAACGACAGGTCTATTAGAACAATGTAGATAAACTATTAATATTAGAAGACAATTTCCCCTGTCAAACAGCCTTAATCCTAATATATGTTAAACCGAAGCAGAGAAATTATTCAAACATGCATCAGTAGACGTTCAAATATCTGAAATATTTGTAATAAAACATGCACTTGTCAAAGTGTAGGTGTGCGATACCTTGAAAAACAGCTTTTGATTCTTATCACTTGTCTGTGTACATGTACTAACTTTCTGGAGGTATGTATGAATTACAAAATGTGAGAATGGATTTGGAAAAAGTTGTGTAACAGTGAATTATAGTTTAATATTATGTTTGGAACCATCATCAATGTGTATAGGGACAAGTTTTCATAATAAATAAAACACTGTTGCGTTTGAACCAAATTAAATCTCAACTCTTTTCAATCAAATTTGTGCTTTTCTATGCAAAGCCTCTGCATAGTATGTTCTAACATTTTTTCACCATTTTACATTTTTGAAAATTAATGCATAATTGTCAGCTGTATAGTCAGGGGCAGTTTATAAATGGGTTGCATCAAAAACTATTCAGTTGGGCTGCACGATATATTGGAAATATATCGTGCAGCTATTCAGCTAACAAACAGCTACTCAAGGTTTTGAGGTATGACCAGACAAGCTGAAGGGACAATAAATGGAGGGATAGTCCAAAGGAGGTGGAGAAACAACACAAACAAGGCATAGCTTGAAAGATGGATGGAGTTGATGTGCTAATAGTCCGATAAATCCTCCAAAGATCCAAGTATATTTCCTGTCAGCTTACATCTTTAGCAATGTGCAATATTAAATTAACTTGGACCCCTAAAGAACATTTGTATGAAACTATGAAATGGTCTCAATCTCCTTATTCGCCTTCCCTCGATGTTTCTCCTCCCTCTCTCTCCCCCTCACAGCAGCAAAATGACAGGCTGGAGGCAGGATCACATCAGATACCATGCAGCCAATCCAGCCAGAGCAGCAAACCAAGTCGCAAACAGAACCTGTCCTGTTGGGTGTCGGAGTACGGCCATGGCGAGTTGACAAGCATATGCCGTTCCGCTCGACGCCGCTGCAAGCACATAAAAAGAAAACAAACCTTAACAACAGCCTCACAACAGTGTTATTTACATGTTACTCATTGCGGCATGATGCATACAAGGAGTCCAAGTATAAAAACATACTCATTTTGGCAGCATAGTAGGGACATTTGCTGATGTCACCACCCATTGCTCCGTGGACGGGCATGCCAGCATCTAAAACATCCTCCTGGATGGTTTTCCCAATCTCTTCCAACTCCTCGAACACCTACCAGCACAAACACATATGTATTGTTATCAATGTAGTTGGATACTCAAAGTATCATCATCATTTACCAAACTGATATAAAAAAAACCCATAAAAAAGTCAAAGATAAATGCAGTTAATAATCAATACAACCACCCTCAGTATAGGGCGTAAGAGGAGCAGCAGCACATGTGCTAATGTTTGGGCTACTGCAGCCGTGCGCACCAGTATGTCAGGAGTGGGAGCGAGATAAAAGAGGAAATGAGACGACAGAAAATGTCAAACGAAAAACTTGAGCGACAGCATTACTGAAGAAGACACTCAAGGCTAAAAAGACGAGGACATTGTTAAAAAGAAGGGTCCAACTGGAAATTGTGTGGAAAGCCTGTTCCCACAAAGATTACCACTAATCTGTTCGACCCTCTGAAGCTGAAATGACAGAAATAGTGATTTGATTTATATCATGATATATATATCAATATCGACTGATGATGATCAGGATAAGGTTTATTTCTCTATCACTCAGCCCTACCTAGGTACAAAAGGCACACTGAACACATTTCATTCAACTCATTTAACCACTTCACCATCACCACCTGGGAGCAAATCACCAGTGATTCCAAACATAGCTTTTCTATTTTCTGGACCTACTTTCCCTCTCCACTGCCTCTCACCTCCATGTTGAAGTGGAAGGCTTTCACAGCCTCACCCACGAGCCTCTTCTTTGTTTCCTTGTCTAGTTCCAGCTCATTCATCCGGCTGCGGTAGAGCTGCTTGAAAGCTTTGGCACTATGGATGGCATCAAACTGATAGAACTCCAGGCCCTCTCCTGTGGGAGGAAGCTTTAAGGCCCTCTGCGCGACTTTCTTCAACACTTGGCCCCCAGACAGATCCCCCATGTAACGGGTGTAGGCGTGGGCCACCAGCAGCACTGGGTCTTCTTGTCCCACTTGGTGGATACGGTCCACATAGTGCTGGGTGGCCTGAGAGCAGCGGACCTGGCTCTGCCATTCTGGACCATAAAAATACTCAAGGTCACGGGCCAGAGCTTCATGGCGATGCAGCTCTGTAGGAAAATAAAGAGGGGCAAAGTGGGGGTGGTCCTTGTTCCTTTCAATCTCCTCCTCCATGGCCTTGTAAGTGTAGTAAAGAGCCACGGCTCCAAGCTGGAGTCAGGAAAGAAAAGTCAGATATTTTTCTCAGTTTAAATTGTTCTTTGTTCTCTCTTTTACCTTCATAATTTATCTTTGCACTTATCAATACAATTTTCTTCCACATGTTTTCAAAACTGACCTTGAAGAGCTCTTTGCGGATGCGTCCCCTGAGGAAATCCTTCACAAACTGGGTGTTCTCAGCCTTCTCATGGACTTCTTTGGTCCCCGCTGCCAGCAACTCAGACAGATCTTCAGGACTAGGGAAGAGAAAAAAACAATGTTAGAGGTATATCAGGGGTTTAACAGAAACAGCATGATTCTTCTGTAATGTTATTCCACATTGTCCTATGTTAGACAGTGACATGGCATTTACCTGAGGCTGTCCTCTTTGTCTCCATACACAGGCCCCTCTCCATTGGGCACGCTCTTTGTCTCCATAATCTGTGCTGACATTAGTGGTGTGTTCTTAGTGAAAGACATCAATGTAGCAGTATCACTTTAAAAATATAATGGCATCAGTTATATTTAAGTTTCATCATATTTTACTGCACATATGCTATTGAATCTGAAAAAATAAATATACTTAACTACATTGGTACAGTTCTGATTAAGGTATATACAAGAAGAGGACATTTAGGCTGAGAGTTGAATTTGAATATTAGGGTTTATGGACACTTTGATGACACCACAGGAGCGGTTGTTTACAACTGTTTCCATTTGAAGAAGTGGTCACAAGTTACTTCTATTGGATTGGATTTGGCTGCAACACTGTTTACCCCTGAAACTCCAGTAGTTTTAATGGACTTCAACCCTCCATCGGCGAAGTGCTGAGTAGATAATGAGTGAACTTTCATTTTTGGCTGAACTATCCTTTTAATGTCACAAATAACAGAGCATCTGTAGACCCTTACCCAGGAGGCAGCAGTGATCTAGAGAGAAAAGAGGGGAGCTGATGTCACCCCACTCCAATTCACTGTAGCTGTTGATGAAGAAGAAGAAGAAGAAGAAGAAGATGATGATGATGATGATGATGGTGGTGGTGGTGGTCAAAAGAAAGTTTCCCTCTGTCAGTGGATTGAGTCTCTTGAAACCTTTGACCTCATTTACTCTGAAAGGGACACAAGACAAAGAGCTGATCGTTGTTTACAGACTTCTCATCAGCCTCCAGATTTCAACTAGAGCAACACAGCAAAACAAACGAGCACATCCTGCAGGGCCCTCCAGCTCCAGCTCGTGGATGTCGCCAGTCAGAACTCTGTGGTTGTGTATTTACATCTTTAAATCGAAGCTCGGCCACTTGTTTGGATCTAAAACAACACTGTCACGTCCCCTCGCTTGCTGCGAGCACGATTCTGACAACAGCTAACTTTACTAGCCCACGTTAGCTAGCGGCTATCTCGGGCTGCAACAAGCTAGCAAACTCGACTGAGGTTTGACGAGCGTCGTCACACTTCAGAACAATGGCGACGCGTCTGTTCGAGAGTCCGAGTCGGGTTAAGCGTCGCTACATTCGAAGGGCTTCGCTGTTGCGGTGACATTGAGCGAAACTCACCTTCACACCGACACAGTTCGTCAACGAGACCCAGGCTGAAAGTGCAGGGGACGGATGTGTCCCGTCCGACTGCGCCTCCTGTCGGCCCGGCCGCGGTCAGCCGCTGGTCCTCTGCAGAAAGTGCTGAGGACGCAAAAAAAAACAAAAACCTCCACCAGCACAAAAGTTTGCACATCTTACAAAACAAAGATCAACATGGAGTCTGTGCGTTTCTCAACCTGCGTCATTATCTGCTCTTTATCTTCTTCTTACTGCATTTGTTCCTCGGCACCACTATAAACAAGCTGTCATTCAGTCCTGTGTGATCTAGTCTTTTTATTTCCCTTCTGTTCCTTTCTCTGAAGTTCTTGGTAAAACTGGGTTTTGTATTTTATAATATCTCCTTCCTTTCTCCTCCTCCTCCCACCTTTTCTGCCATATCTCCATTCCTTTCTTCTTCATTATTGATTCCTCTTCTCCTTTGCCAAGTGGAACCGATATTTCTTTTTTAAGCGCACCTTTTGACCCCTCATGAGCAGGCACATGACAAAAGGGAAGTCTATACCAGCCATGTGAAGTCTTAACAAACTATKKCAGCTCAATTAGTAAATCCTTTGTGATGGATAATGTAGATTATATACTTTTAAACAGCTGCCTTTAAAACAGTCTTTGGTGAGCACACATTAAATGTCACGATTAGGCCGAGATTCTGAGGCAGTTTCAAAGCTGTGACAACTCTATAATAAAGACGTAATACACTTCTGTGGAGCTTGTGATACAAAATGCATAGGAATAAAACAACACTGAACTAAAGAAGACAAAACAAAATAAGAACGATAAGATAAAAGACAGTAAACATAAAAAATTGATCCTAACAGATATGATATCAAGACTATGTTTTTATAAAGTCACTCTCAATTCAATATCATCCTTAAAAGTCTGTTTGCAGACCTTTGAGATAATTGTGAAGCGTACAGCGTAATTGTCAGTCTAATCAAAGATGAGCTCCTGAAAACACTGCTGCTCCCATTGCAAAGCCCTAATTTCTCCCATATGATATGTGTCTAAATCTTTGCTGCTAAACAAATGACCTTTTAGCATCAACCCATTGTTGCTCTCTGAGGCCCTCCTGGAATTATTATGTTAAAGTTGTAATTCTTCCAAAACAACATCACAACTTTAGTGTAATCATGTAATTATCTCTGTTCACTATGTAACTATGTATCATAGTTATTTGAGTTTTTGAATAAGTATTTTAATAAGTATTAATATAAAGTGACCATTCTTTCTTTCCTCCTTTGCAGAGGTCAACCCGAGCACAACATTGTCAAAAAGGCTGTGAAATTTAATAGATGAATTGTTTATACAATAGATTACACTTGTAAACATTGCATTGTGTATGTCAACGCAAGATTTACAAATGTAATCTACAGAATAAAAAGACGGCATCGTGCAGGTCTTTAGAAACAAAGGCTCTACTGAGGAGCCTACTTGTTAGGCTTATTCTCAATATGTTTATGGAAATATATATATATTATTGAAATATATATTATATGTCTTTAATTTTAACACTTTTTGTCAAAAAAGGGATGGATTCATCAATTTCTTCAGGACAAGGGATTTAAACTGAGGCTTCTCAGCCCCACAACACTCAAAACCAAAGAGAAAAGAAAGCAGTACACTGAATGTGTAAAAGTTGAGCGGGCGCCCTGAAGAGCTGGATCCAGGTCTACAATTGTGCATGTACAGTTTACTGTGTAATTACAAGGAGATCTTCCAGATGAGCAGGTGTTGGTCCAGAAACAGCCTCAAACACAATCTTTCTTTCCAGCGTTGAATCATGACATGCTGCTCTAACCCTCTCTGGACAAACAACACATGTTTCCTTCTTTACAGACATGTTGTGCATGCACGTCACAGATCATGGTTTCATAATGAGCTAAGCAGGTGCTCTGTGTGCACATGATTCACACAGGCTGTTCATGAATAATGTACAAGTGGTTGTTTTTGTTGCTAAGCTGATTTGTCCATGAGTGTTTGACTGAATGCAGTGTTATACGCATATCTATGAGTATATTGTTTGTGTAAATGCGTCTGAGATAGCTATAGTGTGTGTGTGTTTTTTTGTGTGTGTGTGTAAGACAATCACAGACTGCACTGTCAGATGCTTGGTTGCCCCCACCCAGCACCCCCACTGTGCCACTGAACCACAGGAGGCTGGTGTGTGTGGTGGGGGGGATGAGCTAACAGGATGATTCACTTCCCTCAAAAGGGGCTGCCAAGCTGCCAACCATTACATTATACTGCTTTGTGTGCCACTGATGCAATTCAATGAGAGGAGGGAGGACAAGGGGATTCAGTCCTAGAACTCTGGCTCTGGGTTGATAAAATTGAAGCAATATCCTCTCAGATGCTTGTTAGTCCATTTATGGAGAATCTCAGAAAAAAAAAACATCTGTTTGACAACTTTCAAATATTGCACCAAAAACATTAAATAGCAGGAGATCGTTTTTTGATATACCAATAAGCATCTGTTGTTTTGGATCTATATGTTACACTGTGCTACACAAAGCAGTTAAACAACAACTGATTAGTCATATTCTTTCCTTTTCTTGAGCTTCACTCACAGGCAGTTGCACAAAACAGTAAACAGGCTTCTTGACTTGGCAACATGTTTACTCAATGTAATGGACAGTTTGAAATGATCAACACAGCTCTTACGAGTCATCACTCGACACTTGTGGTTTATAGATAGACTAGGTCACATTCAAGAGTGCAGTACATGGAGAGATTTCAAAACAGGGGGCAAGTAGAGTCGGTGTTGTTCTGCCATTGAAATTTGAAACATGACATTATTATTATTATTGATAGTAGTAGTATCAATGTTATTATTGTTGTTGTCATTGTTATCATTACTATTATCATTAGTAGTAGTAGTAGTAGTAATAGTATCAATATTATTGTTGTTGTTATTATTACTATTAGAATTATTATTGGTAGTAGTAGTATCAATGTTGTTAATGTTGTTGTCATTGTTATCATTACTATTATTAGTAGTAGTAGTAGCAGTATCAATATTATTGTTGTTATTATTACTATTATTAGTATTAGTGGTAATAGTAGTATCAATGTTATTATTGCTGTTGTCATTGTTATCATTACAATTATCATTAGTAGTAATAGTATCAATATTATTGTTGTTGTTATTATTACTATTATTAGTGTCAGTGGTAGTAGTAGGATCAATATTATTATTGTTGTTGTCATTATTGCTATTAGTATTAGTAGTAGTATTAGTAGTGGTAGTAGTAGTATCAATATTGTTATTATTGTTGTACAAATCTACTTCTTTATCATTGTATGGTGTTTTGGTCACAGACGTGGTGTTGGCAACATGAGGCAGCTGTGACACTTCTCGCGAGAACTCGGCCATTTGTAAATAAAGCAAAAAAAGTTTCTTGTTGTCGCTGTATAGGTCGATGTATAGGTGGTTTGAAACCATCGCGGCATTTCATCCGAATGTTGGACGAGCTTCATAACGATCTTTACAAAATTAAAAACTTTTTAATGTTATTTTACGTCTTTTCTTACACCGAGAAAGAAACGTGACTTCCGCATCCGTTACTTTTGACTTCGCGGGTCAACACGAAACAGCTTGCGTCACGTTGTCGTTTCTATGGAAATACACCGACTGACCACGTGTTTCACACACTTCCGCACGACCCTGTGGTTTCTTTAAGTTGTGCAAACGCTGAATCGGTGTTTAGATCGAAACTTTAACAGTCGGTCGATCGTCATCATGTCAGTGCTGTCTGTGGTTGAACAGGCGATCGAGTCCTGCAAAGCGGAACAAACCAGGATTCACGACAGTATTCAACTCTACAGGGAATTATTACACAGTTTGTGAGTATTATACTACACTATACTACTACTTTACATTTGAGTCATCCACCACACTGTTTGATTTAAGATTCCACTTCTCATATACATGGGACAAAAGTACTCTCAAGTTTACTACCAGTAAATGATCTTAGGGGCCCTAATATATATCAACAAAAAATTAATCAGGAAGCTGAATACATCATGTGATTTGTCATTGACCCGGGATATCCGGCGCTGTGGCTTAGTTGGTTAAAGCGCCTGTCTAGTAAACAGGAGATCCTGGGTTCGAATCCCAGCAGTGCCTTTTGGTGACACTGTCTATTGAAAAACTCACTGTCCAACGATGTTAACTCATCCTCAGCCAACAGTGAACTTTTAGTCACTAAGTAATGTGAGGATGTGAACATAGTAGATGATAGTTTTTATTTATCAATTAACTCTCTAGTGAATTAAACGTTTGCCTTTAAAGCAGCATCAATCCTTCTTTAGATCAGACGTGCTAAGGGCTGAAAGAACAGCCAGAACCGATGTGGAAGGTGAAATTCAATGTGATCCCTGTGATGGTAGGAGCATAAAGGGGCTATAAGTTACTTCTTCCTCCTTAAAGCCTGTAACCCCTGGGTTAAACTGGGAGAGTAAGAATGATATACCATCCCATGTGTGGTGTGAGAAAACAATTATGATAAAAATTTTTAATGGGGATATCAGTATTTGCCTATTAACATTTATGTTGTACATATATTATGTTGCTGTTGCTGCTACTGATGCCTGCGTTTGCTTCATTTGGTCCTCTTGGTTATTTTGAGTCTGTGGTCACATGAATTTTATTTCCACAGAGCACCGCAGCACATGTCGAGCTTTGAGGAGTCAGAACAATCAGGTGCTGCAGCTACAGGTAAACAACAACACTAAAATAACAACAGAACAAAAAGGGAAAACAAGTCTCAAAGGCTTTACACCGAGAGAAACACATGTGACATTATTTTCAAAAATAGCCCTTTTGGTTAATATAGCCTAGTCGAAAAGATGACAGCACACAGTCACACTTCTCTTTTGAGTGCCTCCCACGTCCTATTTAATTGTGCTATCGGTGAATGCTCTACATTAAATGTTCGCCTCTAAATGACTAAATGTTAATTACTCCATGCTGACTCTTTTGATCAGGTCTCTCTTGTAAGAGAAATGATCTCAATGATTTCAAGAGACTTACGGGTTAAACGAAGGTAAAATAACTAAACTGTAACCACGGGTTTCTACGCTGCTATCCTCAGACACAGATACCTCACCAGGGGAGAAGGAAGATATAGAACTGCTTGAGCAAGCCCTGGAGAAAGCTCTTCGAATCCGCACCGGCTCAGGAGCCTCTGTGAAGGACCCAGAGGGACACAAGCAAGCTCGACCTCTAAAAGAACCAGGCAACTCAAAAGATGTAGCACAGTCATCTGCACCGTTTAAAGGAGGTCAGACAACCATCAGATCAACCTCTAAATCAGTCAGACTAGACAGAAAAGACCAAAAGAAACCTGGATCATCAGTATCCTCCACGCAAAGCTCCAGGCCCGCAGCTAGCAACAATCCTGGAAAATCAAAACTCAAGACAAACAATAGAAGCATAATCCAGAAGCATCCTGTCTCGTCAGCGGAGGCCGTGCATCACCAGGCAGCGAGGAAATTGCAGCAGGCCGCTTCAGTGTCAGGAAGTCACATCTCAACCTCGCACTCTAAAAACAGGACTATTAAAAGCAGCGTGCTGAGTGGTGGTGACCCCGGCAAAGCTGCAGCTATCTCCGCACGTCCTTCAAATAACACACTGCCTTTTCCACACACACACGAGGCTGTAGCTCATAGTTTGCTTCAACGTGATGGGTATGTTTTCACACTAGTGGACTTTAATAACGGTGCTTTGTTGGTGTCAGATGGAACAGGTGCTCTGCTATAATCATTCTGTTTGTATTTGGCAGAATAACATCTGAGCAGATCACAAAATGGAAATCTTTACGGAATAAGCAAAACAGGTTGGTTAAAACCGATCTGTGGATTTTTTTTACTACTCTTGACTCCACTGTTTAAGTTTTCTTCTCCATGTTATTGTTAGGTTGTGGGACAAAGTTGTTGCCCTACAGAGGAACACTGTGCCTGGGAGGAGTCACTTCATGGAGAGAATGAGAGATACGGTATCTTTCCTTTTTTCTAGTGAAGCCCATCACAATGGGCCCGAAACATGTTTTCCATGCTGCGTCATGTTGATGACTCAGTTCCACGGCTAATGATCATGGTAGAAATCTAGGTTTCTGAATGACAAGTATAAAAAAATAAGAAAATAAATAAATGTAATAAATGAACAAATGAATAAATGTAGAAATACAGAAATAGATAGAATATCCAGTGTCTCATCCTTCACCATGTTCCTTCGATCCCTCTAGTTCCCGGATGATTCACCGTGTGGCAGCACAGATCAGACCGGAGCTCCGGCCGACAAGTTGACTCACCGAGGGCACGGCCTCACACATCACTGCCGGACAAAGCAGCTTCTGGCCAAACCAGCCCCAGAAGCGGCCGCAGCAATCGGTGAAAGCCTGAACAGAATCACACAAGCAAACAAGATAAAATTAGGTGGCAGGGAAATGATAAGAAATTGATCCGATTTATGACACGTGTGTGGGTGAGAAGATGATAACTTGGGAAGAAACTGCACAGGGAGTTGGCAGGAAGTGAATTTATGAGAGCTATTTAAACTGATATATGAATGTTGAGCCTTTCCCTCTGCTGCTGGTGCTCAGTGCCCTGGACTGACCATTTGAAATATTCTGGATTGTTGCAATAACAGTGACCACAAACACAACACAGTTAAACTAAACAACCTGTGCTTCTGATGCAATATCATTTATTTCATCAATTATTATTGCTTTATCTACTTATATGCAGGTTCTAGGAAAAATAAGTTCAAACAGATTACACATCAACCTGACTTTTGTTAGGCGAAGACGTTCATGAACTGAATCAATAATATTATTAGAAAGATTTATTCATATTATACATCACACACTAAAATAACGAAGAGGAATCATGACCCTGCGTTTGACTGAGATTACCCAGCAGTGCATGTTCACTCGCTCTGAGCACATAGTACGTAACATGGTATCATTTCCACTACCTCCACTGATAGAATTATCACGACGCTGAATGTCCAGAGATTTTTCCATTGGCACCACTCAAATGACTGTATCACCTTCAGGAAAGGAGTTGTGTTTACGTTCACCAGTTATTTATTGTGATGGATGTAGCGCGCTAATGAGCTAATGCAGCCTCTCCACATCCCGGCGTATGGAAAATGAAAACAGAGCTGCAGTGAAACCTCAGCGCCAGATCAGTACTTTCCTCGGCCTCGACAGATTCCCCCTCCCTGCCACTGTGGGCTTTTAAAGCTGTCTATCCTGACGTGGCAAGGCTTGGGCCTTGCTATTTAAAGCAGAAAACGCTTTAGGGTACGGTTGCTCACGCGCACACTCTAAAAATAACTGTATTTTTCGTCAGAGATGGAAACACAGGATCGATGGAGGCTGGAGGGAGGTTGTCTCCCCCTGACTATAACCTACTCAGCAGAGGCAGAGCTGCGAGATGTGGAGAAGCTGAGGATGCGGGTGGCACTGCTGCAGCAGGAGATTAACCTTGAGCAGGTAAGAGTTGTGTTCTCCAACCACCTTTATAGACTACAAGTACATCGGATACTTGATTGTGCTCATTTTGGAGTCAATAAAGCTTAAGAAATAATGCGCGGAGACTTTTCTTCTATGTTTCAGGCTCTGTTGGACACTCTGTCCCCTCAGCTCTCGTCTATAGCACCAGGGCCCGGATGTCCCAGCGCCAGTGTGCTCAGAGACATGTACTCCCTGCTGGGTGAAGGGGGGGAGCGTTTCCCCACCACAGTCCTGGACTCTGAGCCTGACTGACCACAGAACATACAGTAATGCACTGAGTTACCAGTTCATGAGGTACTCTGTCCATTCCCAAATTTGTACATGAGAGACCGAAAATATATCACACACCTCTGAGTATAATACAGTGCAACACCAGTTGGGTCATGCCACTCTGATACTGTCAATAAAACTAGAACATATGCTATTTTGGATTGCTTTAGAATAAACAGTGGTTGATAATTCAAGAAGATTTTTAGATGTAAATCAAATATGTCATTATTGTAAAGAAATGTAATTTGCTGTGACTCTATTTATTTAGTCTCATTCTGTCTAATAACTTGAATGTCTGAATGAAAATACAGGACTGACCCTGAATTTTGTCACTGTCCTATTAAAATCATGTACATATCTCCACAAACATTAATGTTTGAGTTGAGCTAAAAAAGAAAAGCCCTGGTTTCAGTGTTGTGACAAACTTATTTTTAAATGGTTTATTTAGCTTTAGAGACAAGAGAATGTAGTCTCCTCTGGACACAGACAGCCATTGCCAGCAGGGGGCAGTCAACTAACAGGAAGTCATACAAACTGATATCAAGATGACTGATATCAACCACTTTTGTTGTCATTACTGTCAAATCAAAATCTGTTAATAAATCCTCAGTAATAAGAATATGTGACCTAGAATCACACGAGGTTACCGGACTAGTTTTCACAAGATACTGTCTGTTTTCAACAAGATAGACCTGCACCTCACCATATGATTTCCATGCTGGGCTCTTTTAATCTGGCATACGCGAATGATAAGATAATACATATGGGGTCCGTACTACATCTCTGTGATCTGTGAAAATTGGTAATGGTGTGATGCGAGGGTGTATGTGAGATGCGGCAGGGCTTGGAGAGGCCGAAAAGACTCGTGCCCACAGATGACGTGTGGATGGCACGGATTTGTGCAGACTGGGCGACAGGTGGCGCTGGGTTCACACAGCAGGACGTGGGTGTTGGAGCCCTGCTGCACCAGCCCTCGTGTGCAAACGCACAAACGCAGGGACACACACACACACACCAAAAGCTGTTTGACTCACAGAGACAATGCGCACAGGGGCCTGGCTCTCTGCATGCTGCAAGATAGAAATGGCCTGTTTCCCTGAGGAGAGGAATAAAAAGCAGATAATATTAAAAAAAAGACTATTTCAGCCTGCCATTGTCTGTGCCTCAAACAGCAGGAGGACAATAATTCAAACAACTGCTCCAGGCTTATGTGTCTTCGCAATGCCTCCATCTCTGTTTCACCATTGGTGGATTGCAGCCATTTCCTACAGGACTGTATGTCCCTGCAGTCTTGGATCAGTGTATGTGAGCAGAGTAAAGGAGGCAGAGATGCATCCATGAGATCACGTCAACACTACACACAGGTCCCAGCGGGAGTAGCGTCTACGCAACTCATCCTTCCTGTGACCTGCATACATCAGCTTCTGCCTGGATCTGGCTGTCACCAACAGAGCTTTTACACTCCCACCCCCATGGCCTGGCCCTGCCCAGGTTACCCATGTCTCATGCCTCTGTCCCATTTTCCCACGCCTCCTTTTGTCACTTCATGGCAGTTCGGCAGAAACTCTACTTTCCGTGGGAGAAGCTTTCTTTTCCATGACAGTGCTACTGTATGTCAAACAATGAAAACGCTCTGCTTTCTCATACACAGACCTCCCTTCTTTTTTCACCACAAACACTGGACTCAAAGTACAAATCCACAGAAACAGAACAGTGCTTCCAAGAATCCACTTCTCTCATGTATAATGTGCCCTAACATCTCTTTTCTCTTTTCAAACCTTCACAAACACATTCCTCACTTTCCCTCTTTTGCTCATCTACAGCTCTGTTACTGACTGAGAGATCATAAAAGTCAATGTGATCATCGGTTAGACTACGGTTTATTTGATTTGATTTTTTTTTTTAATCCCACCACCTCTCAGCCGCTCTAAGCCAGTTTCCTCTGTCAAGTTGTCTTTTCTGTCGAGGCAAAGTCTTACTAAAGAGCACTTGTCCTGTGCTGACGGAGGCATGTTGGGCATTTAAATGAGAACATTAGTTAGCTCTTGATATGGTAATGTGTGCCTTGTGGCCATTGTAGAGGAACAATCCTTTCACTTTATCATTAGGGAAAAAACCTGTTGCCAAAATGAAGTCATGTCGGTGTTAAAAACCGGAAACAATTTTCTATGTACGAATAAGCTTTGTGAGAAAAAATATAAATTGTTGTGATAGTAAATCTGTTAATGCCTGAAGATAAAAACATAGACATTCAGCTGTGTACACACCTTTATCTTTCCCCATTGTGTCTTTTCAGATGTAGAGGCGTAAGATTAGTGAGTTCAGGGAGAGAGAGCTTTCTGGATTGATTCACTTCGATCATACGGGGGGATTAACTAGGTTGCCTTCCATTCAGAAAGGACTAGCACCAGCAGAGTGTGTGTGGGTGGGAAATGTATGTTTGACATTTGTGTATTTTTACACGAGTGTCTTTCTGTCACATAGGGGGGGATGCTCATTAGTGTATTTACACTTTTATTACAGTGTATATGCAATAGGCTCCTATACAAAACAGCATCTTCAGTGTGTGCACGTCAAAAGTGTGTGGGTGGTCCGAGGATTTCTGTTTCTGTTGACTTGATGGGGTGCAACAGTTCCTGTATAATTGCCATATGGAGGTGACACATGTGAAGTTGCAGTGCAGGGTGAGATGCCTCCTCCTCTCATTGAATTAACAGGAAAAACAGCGTTCCGATCTGAAATATCGAGGGATCCCCTTTGTCCCCTCACTTCGAGGAAGCAGCAGGTTTCTGTGGTCTGTCTGTGTGTGTGTGTGTGTGTGTGTGTGTGTGTGTGTGTGTGTGTGTGTGTGTGTGTGTGTGCGGGGGGGTATACAGGAGGAAAACAAAAAAAAGCAATTGAGAGGCAGTGATGAGGAGATGAAGACAAGAGGGAGCATTTTACTCCCCTCCCCCTTCCTGTGCTTCATCAACCCCTTTGATCAACCTCTATTCTCCCTGCTTCAGTGTTGGACGTCACACAGAAGAAGACCAATCGGAGCGCTTGGACTTCCCCATTTTTCTTCCCAAGCTCCACCCCCTCTGGTCCTTTATATATCCCCCATCACTACATTCAGCAGAGTGTACAATGTGCTGCCAGAGAGCCAACAGGCAGTGTACAGAGAATCAGCCAGAGAGGGAGGGAGAGAAGGGGAAAGTGTGAGTGGATTTCCGTGCTGACTTCATCTGACACGCTCCAGCCATTCCCGCTCCAGTCATTTCTCCGGTTTCACGTAGACCTCCTTCTCCTCCACTCTGTCTCTCTCTGCCTTTCTCTATCTCTGTCTGCTTCTCCAGGCCAGAGCAGAGTACAGACGGGATCCAAGAGGCCAACGCTGCTGCTGGGTCTCAGGATTTACCAGCCCACAGAGAGATGGGCTGTACAACGGGCCACCTGGCATGCCAACCTCAGCCCCAGACCGGCTCTGGGCAGGACAGTCAGGCCCTGGAGGGCGATGGTGCCAAAGTTCCGGATGTGCTGTCCTCTCTGGAGCGTCTGTCGCAGGCCACTGGAGGCATGGAGAAGTCCTGGTACCGCTGCATCTTTCCCTTTGGAATCATCTCTTTGGTGATCGGTATAGCAGGAACGGGGGTGACATACACCTATAATGACCTGCCTCAGACCAAAGTGGTGTCTGTGGTGCTACTTGTCATGGGTCTTCTGTTGTTGCTGATGGCCACTGCCTGTTGGACTGTCCATAAGAGAAAGAGGAGGAAAAAGAAAGAAGGAGGGTCATTCACCTCTGAGCAGTGTCCCCTGTGAAGCTCATGGGGAAAACAGTTATAGGAGCACGAAAGCAGAGACATACCCAGGGCTGGGAGCTCATGGGTTGGCTAGAGAAGCAGCCACTTCACCTCCACCCTGTCACAAATCCCCTCTATTCCTTTTTACAGAGTTTGGCTCAGCTCATACTGGAGAGAAGTTGGACTGAGAAATCATTCAAAGTGGAAGGACAGATAGACAGGGCGCTGCAGATCTGTTTAGTCTGTAAGGTTTGGACCATTCTGGATCAATGAGGGATCACCAATGCCTCACACGCTCTTTTATCATCAGACAGCAGGTGTCCAGTGTCAAAACAACCTCAGAGGAGACACACACAAATATGCACTGCACACTGCAGGCATATTTACACACACAGATACATGGCCCTTGCGATCCTTACTCACATATGCGGTAGCAGTCACAGTGGGAGCTCGCGCCGACACCCAACACGCTATGCAGAGCTGCTGCTGGAGTCAGTGCTGGCGTCACTAGGCACGTCAGTCACAACATTCCTCGGGCGAGGACAGGTGACTCTCCAAGAGGCCAGAAGTGGGCCAAAGACGGCAACTTGATACCCAGCCGAAAGAGCAGCGCACCCGCGTCAGGGGCCAGCGTCATTCACTCGTCCTGTGACACCGCAGCAATGTGTTGGGGCTTTTTTTACGCAATGGGAGAGTGGAACTTGAGTCCAGCAGGATCTTGGTGGCATCTGCGTGGACGATGAGCTGGAGAGGCCGGAGGACCTAGTGGCTCAAGTAAAGATTCTGTTGAACTGAAACACTGTTGGACCTCGAACCTCACTGCGAAGGAAACCAAATATTTGCACAATAATGGCCACGTCCATGCCAAGCAAGAGAAACTTTTATTAAAGTAACATACTCTGAAAGGCCTTTTGTAGCTTCAGCTCTACATGTGTGTGGCACTGAGTGACTGTTTGCCCTCCTGCCAGGCTTGTGTCTACGTGGGGCACCCCAACTCCACATAGGGCAGACAAGGATTATTGAAGGACACTGCCCGAGGGGACATGCCACTGTAGGGACACTTTGACTGATCCTGCTCCCATATGGCCCCTCCCGCTTAGTGCCTTGAGCAAGCACTCATGGAAAAAGGCTTTGTCGCATTTCCCTTTTTCCATCTGAACTCCTGAGAATTTTCCCACTGTCTCTCTTTACCCCAACAGCGCTCTCCCCATCCATCCCATTTACTCCATCCCCAATTTATTCTTTAATTCATCTCATATCTCCATCATGATATAGCCCAGGAGGATATGTCTATTGCCTTTTGAAACAGAAATGATGGCACACACTTACACTTGTAAGCCCCACTGGCATTTGTTTTTTTTCTCTCTGCGCCAAAGAAAATTGATCATAATTAATTGAGTCAGGTGCAAATCCCTCAGTCTAAAGATATACTACAAGCCTTTTACTCCCCTTTGAATACTCGTCTGTACTCTCAGTGACTCTGGGGGTTTCCCTTTCCTACGCATTCTTTCAGAGAGAGGCGTTGAATGTAGCTGCGCTCGGCTCCCCATCTGTGAATAGGTGCTCTCGCTTGACGCGCGCTCTCACAGGATGAGACACACAATGGCATTTTATTCTTGTCGTAAACATTCTGGTTTCTGTCAGTGAATGTAATAATGTAATGTGTGGATGCAAATCATGGACGGAGACGGTGCGATGTACAGAATGTCTAGAGACTGAGAGGAGTCAGTGCCTGTAGTCTCCATGTGAAGGACTGTGCTCACACTCTTGAGAATTATGATCGATCACTGTTGCATTGATTCTGACCACCAGACTGGTGGCGCTTGTTGTCGTGTAAAAAGTGTCTATGCA